CCCTGGGGCTCATCTGCCGATTGATAGTTCTTCACCTATTTACCAGGTGTCTCTGTGCCAGGCCCTGCTCAAGGCACTGGGGTTACGGCGGTGGCTAAAGTAGACAGAAAGAACCCTGCCTGCAGGGAGGCGATGTTCTCTTGCGGGAAGACAGACGATACACAAGATATTTAAGTAACTTACATAGTAGTGAGGGAGGTAAGAGCTATGGGGAAAAATGAAGCTGGCTAGGAGGGCTGGGGAGGGTGGAGGAGTGCGATTTTAAACATGGGGGACATCTGAGCAAAGGAGGGAGGAAGGGAGGCCTGTCAGGGTCTGGGGCAAGAGCGTGCTAGGCAGAGCACAGCAAGTCCAGTGCCCTGGCCCTGCGGTAGGGTCATGCCTGGCTTGGAGGAAGCCCAAGGAAGCCAGTGAGGCTGGAGCAGTGGATGTGTGTGTTTGGCAGGGGATGAGGTCAGGTGGAGGGAAGCAGATCAGTTAGGGTTCATGGGCCCTGGAGAAGGCTCTGGCTTATACCCTGAGTGGGGTGGGAGCTACAGGGAGCTTATGAGCAGAGGAGGGACCGCATCTGACTCAGGTGTTCACAAGGTCCCTCTGGCTGCATATGGGGAAGAGACTGGGGGCAGGGGTGGTTGCTGGACATCGGTGAGGAGGCTGCTGCAAAGTCGAGGTGGACAGGACGTGGGGGCAGGCAGAGGAGAGGCTGAGAAGTGGATAGGTCTGTATCCTCCCTGCCGTTTCTGTCTCTAGTCTTGGCTCCTCTTGATGTAGCCACTGGGTCTTTCTAACATGCACAGCTGGTCCTGTCCCTCCCCTGTTTAAAACCATCCATGGCTCCCAGGGTCCGTGGGACACAGCTGAAGCTCCTCAGCCTGGTGTTTGAGCCTCTGCAGAGACTGGACCCTGCCAGCCTCAGCTCCTACACTCTCCCTACCTCTCAGGCTGCTCCAGCCATGCCGAAGTTCTTTTCCATTCCTCTGAGTCTTTGCTTATGCTTTGCTTCTGCCTGGAACACCATTCCTACTCTCTTCTCCCTGATAACCTCCTCTCCTCCTCCAAAAAGCCTTGCTTGTTCCTTTACGCTTAGTCCAAACCCCTTGACAGGCTTGCAAGACCCTGCAGGATTTGGTCTCATCCCTCCCCCCACCCGGGTGTGTGTCTGCCTTGCCAATTCTCCCCTCTGGACTTCATGCTGAACCTCCTCCCAGCCTTGGCAGCTCCAGGGAGGCTGTGGGGAAAGGTGTTTAGACTTCGAAGGTAGTTAGACTTTGGATCTACTTTGAAGGCAGAGCCAACGTGATTTCCTGATGGAATGGATGTGGAATTTGAAAGAAACGGAGAAGAGGGAAGGATGAGTTCTTTGGATAGCGCTCTCTTGTCCTCCCAGGCCTTTGCACCTGCTGTGTCTGGGGGCTTTATTTTCTTCATCTCTACAATGGGGCCAATAACAGTGGCTACCTCCTATGGGTGTTGAGAAGATTAAATAAGTTATTCATGTAAAGTGCGCAGAATGGGGCCTGACAGTAAAGACTTGATAAATGGGGGCTGTTTTTTAAAAATTAGAAAGATTTTTTTTTTTTTTTTTTTTGTAGAGACAGGGTCTTAACTATGTTGCCCAAGCTGGTCTTGAACTCCTGGCTTCAAGTGATCCTCCCACCTTGGCCTCCCAGAGTGCTGGGATTACAGGCGAGAGCCATCAAGCTTCTTATCCATCTAAAAGACTCTAGGCTGTGCAGAAGTGAGTGGGTGTGTACTTGTCACTTTAGGGCTTAGTAGATGGAGTGTGTTTTAGGGTTTGACCTCAGTGGGTCAAAGGTCAGAAGTCAGTGCTTTTTCAAACTTTGTTGACATCAAACCATAGAAGGAAATATATTTTAACTGTTGATCTAATACAGTCATACCCACATATAAAACTCAAACACGTTTTCCTACCACTAATATTCTTTTTTATTTATTGAGGTGAAATTCACTAACACCAATTTAGCCATTTCAAAGTGTGCAATTCAGTGGCATTCAGTACATTCACAAGGTTGTCCAACCAACACTTCTATTTAGTTCCTGAACATTTCATTACCCTAGAAAGAAACCCCACAGCCCCTGGCAACCACTGATTAGCTTTCTGTTTCTATGGACCAATACAATATTCTTATTACATACAATAAATGCTGATATTTTCTATTCTATTTTATTCTATTTGAATAAAAAAATGGTCAAGGCTCACTAAACTGATTCTCCCACTCACGAATGCAGTGCTGCACATTGGAATCACTGGAGAACTTTAAAAGATACTGATGCCCAGGCCTCTCCCCAGAGATTCTGAAGTGATTTCAGGATTTCTAGAAGCTCCCAGGTAATGCTATGTGCAGCCAAAGTGAGAACTGAGAACCATTAACCTACTGTGTCTCCCCAGCTTGGAAGACACTGGAATGAGACTTAGAGTCAGGGCGATCCAGGAACATAAAGGGACACAGAGATACAAAGGTAGGGACATGATATTTAGACTTTGAAGTGTCCCTTTATATACTCAGATGGTCTCTAAGGAAAACAAGGAGTTGCAGGTACAGAGAGAGAGAGAGAGCCCAAAATTACCTGCAGAGGAGAAACGGAAAGTCAGACAGACAATGAAGAAACTCTGAGAGAAAGAGAAGGGTATGGACAGATGGACACAGATCAGAGGGCAGGAAGATACCCCCAAAACGAGACTAAGACACCAGCAGAACAGACCCAGGGTCCCTCCAGGTCACCATACCCTTCTCTTTCAGCTCACCTGTTCTCCAGGACCAGCCCTGCCCTTCCCGCTGGGGCCCAGACCAGGCCCTGGGAAGCCGTGTCCCAACCTGCCCTGGCCCCGGAGAAGCTGCCCCACCACCTGTCCCCCTTCCCTGGCCTGGTGGGGCCTGGCTTTGGGGCAAGACTGAGCCATGGGGGAAGGGGGAACCCATACCTGCTGCTGCTTCCTCTGTCTTGGCTAACCTCTGTCCCCCCTGAACCCTTAACCATACCCCAAGAGATCCCAAAGCCTAAGACCAGGGTCATTTGGCCCCAACTCCCTGCCTGGCCCTGCTGTTGCGAGTACGTGTTATTTATTACCTGGAGGCCTGTCCTGTCCCTGCCCTCCCCCATAAAGCATTGTTTACACCTGTGCCTTGGCCTCCATCATTTTGGGATGTCGGGAGACAAATAGAGGTCCCTGATGGAAAAATCATGTGTCGTGGTGTTTGGGAGACTTGTTTCTGGGTTGGACATGGTGTGGGGTATACTGTGAGTACACCATGACTCAGGTGCTTATTGCGGTGGGACAGAGGTTGTCACCATGTGGCCACTTTGTGACAATGCATGCTCAAGGCTCACTGTGTAATACTGATGTCCCTTGGTTTGTGAAGTGTATGAAAGAGTGTTTCCAATACCTGTGTGTGGGACAGTGTCTCTAGGGATATGTGCTGTTTGTGTGTGATACTGTGACATGTAACTGCTCTGTGTCCTTGGCGATTATGTTGGTGAGACTGGTGTTGTTTGGGATATCAAGGCCAGGGGATGGGAATGTGGGCCCATGGGTGGGCACTGGGTGTGTGCCTGGTTCTACCTATGCATGTCTGAAGCCTGAAAGTCGCAGGCGGTGACTTACTATTCTGTGCGTGCCTGTGTTTGTGTGACCGTGAGGTCTGTGTGTGTTTTGGTCCCTGTGTGTGACCGTGAACTCTGTGTGTGCCCCTGAAAACTGGTGGCCTTTGTACAACTCGACCCATGTGCATACTTGATACCAGTGTGCCTCTCCTTGAGCCCAGGTGAACCACCCTACCCCCTCATGTGGCCAGCCAGGGACTGGTGTAGCCTTGGGGACACTCCTAACTGCCAACTCCTCGAGAGGCCTGAACCTCACCCCCCTCCTCCTGAGCGATCAAAGATGGGACAGGGGAATTCAAAATGACCTTATCTGCATAGTCCACCGAGCCCGGGTGGCCTAAAATGTTCATAATGAGACGTGGCTTGTCACGCATTTGCGTGTCTTCTATACGTAGCTTTTTTTGGTTCTTTATTCTGACTTCCACAATTGTCCCGAGGGGGCAGGGCGGAGCGGGTCATGCAAATATGATACATTTGCACCTCCCTTCTAGTCCACTTTCCCTTTTCTCAAGGACGTCCCGCATTCTTTTTCCTCCGTTATAACATGTACTTATGTAAATTACTTGCTGGCGTGAGAATTTGCATATATTTCTCAACTAACTGCGTAGCCATTTCTCAGCATCTCACCCCCATTCCTAGGCTGCCCACGTAAATGAAATCCTTTGCATGCTACTCCCCAACCTGGCTACTCGTCCCTCCCCAGCGTTCTCGGCTTGAGGGGGTGGACCTGTCCACGTAAATCATGTCATTTGCATGCCACGCCCACTCGGCTAAGTCTAACACGCACAGGAAAGCCCCGCCCCCGACCCAGCCCATCTCACTGCGCTCCTCCTCCCGCGCAGGAGGGGCGGAGTGGAGAATGCAAATGAGCCTTGCGTCGGCGGCGGTCCCACGTCTCTCTCTCGAGAGGGGAGTTCAGAACCTCCTCGCCCCGCCCCGCCCCGCCCCGTGCGGCTCGCGCCTGCGCATGCACCTTCTCTTCGGCACCGCGCGGTCACGTGCCCAGCGGGCGAGGCGGGGGCGGGGCGTCACGGGAGGTGGGGGCGGGGTATGGCGCGCTGTGAGGCGCAGGGCGGCTGGCACAAACGGCGGCGCCGGGGCCGGAGGAAAAAGCTCGGTGAGGGGTCGCGGGGAGAGAAGGGAGTGAGAGGGACAAGGAGCCCCAGGCGGGGCGCCGGTGCGGACCGGGCGGGGCGTGGGGGTGTGCGTCGGGGCAGGCCGTGGAAGGCCGTGGCGACCCCGAGGACGGAGGGTGGGGGTGGGGCGTGGGGGAGGGAACGCGCGCCGGGCACGTTGGGTGCGGGCCGTTGGGGGGGTGGGGTGGGGGCGGGGAACGCGCGCGGCGCGGAGGCCGAGGGCACGGGCACAGGGTCCGAGCCCCTCGGCCCTGTCTGCGTCGCCTACTAGCTCAGAGGGGGGCCTCCCGCAGGGAAGGGGGTTGGGAAGGGAGTGCTTTTTCCCCTTGTCCTGTCTCCGAGTGCGCGAACCCTCCGCCCTTCCCTCTGTCGTTGTCGACCCTTTTCCCGAGGCTTCCTTCCTTCCTTTCCCGAGGTCCTCTGTTCCAGGACCTCCCGTCCGGGTGTGTGTCCGCCCCCAGCAGGCCTCCTCCCGTTGGGCTCAGGGCGACCCCACCACCGGTGCTGTCTGGCCCTCTCAGGCCCTCCCTCCCAGCTTCCCTCCGGTCTGTTTTTCTGTCTCTGGGTCCCCCAGTTTCCTCTGTCTGTTGGCCTTCCTAACTCTCACTCTGAGGATCCCCTACATTTCTCTGTGTCTCTCTGGAACACCCAGGCAGGTACCTTCTGTTTCCAACCCTCCTCTCCCCACCCGTCCACCGTTCCTTTTCTACTTCAGGCTCACTCCCTGTGACTGTGGGTACTCCGTCCCACAGCCCCAATCAGTCCTCTGTCTTTGTGTCTTCTACCCAGCCTCTCCTCCAGCTCATCCCCCTCGCTGCCCCTTGTCTGCCAGCTATTTCCCCCCCCAACAAAGTCTCAGGCTTCTCCCCTCCACTTAGGTTGTGGGGGTCTCTGTAGCCAAGTCTGCCCTGGTCATCTTCCTCCCTACTGCCCATACCTTCCCCCATCGTTCTCCCAGCCTGCCTCTAGCTTCTCTTACATCCCTTGTTCTCTTTCTCCCTCCAGCCACCCTGAAGGGTCCCTTCCCAAGCTCCTAGGGACAGCAGAGGACTTGGGGACCAGCAAGCACCTTCAGGGCACGAGAAGAGCCCCTACTGCCTGCCCTGCCTCACCCTGCCCCACGCCAGGCCCAGTGGCCCCCAGCTGCATCAAGTGGAGGAGGTGGAGGAGGGTGGCACCATGGGCCCGGGCGGTGCCCTCCATGCCCGGGGGATGAAGACACTGCTGCCATGGACAGCCCGTGCCAGCCACAGCCCCTGAGTCAGGCTCTCCCTCAGTTATCAGGGTCTGTGTCAGAGCCCTTGGAGCCTGGCCGGGCCAGGATGGGGGTGGAGAGTTACCTGCCCTGTCCCCTGCTACCCTCTTACCACTGTCCAGGAGTGCCTGGTGAGGCCTCAGCAGGGAGTGGGACCCCCAGAGTCACAACCACCTCTACCACTGTCGGCCCCCTGCGGGAGGGCTTTGGTGGACAGGATGGCGGTGAGCTGCGGCCACTGCAGAGTGAAGGTGCCGCGGCGCTGGTAACCAAGGGGTGCCAGCGATTGGCAGCCCAGGGTGCCCGGCCTGAGGCCCCCAAACGGAAATGGGCCGAGGATGGTGGGGATGCCCCTTCACCTGGCAAGCGTCCCTGGGCCAGGCAAGAGAACCAGGAGGCAGAGGGGGAGGGTGGCATGGGCTGTGGCTGCAGCAGGGGCAGTGGTGAGGCGAGTGCTGGGCTGATAGAGGAGGCGCTGCCCTCTGCGCCTGAGCGCCTGGCCCTGGACTACATCGTGCCCTGCATGCGGTACTATGGCATCTGCGTCAAGGACAGCTTCCTGGGGGCTGCGCTGGGTGGCCGCGTGCTGGCGGAGGTGGAGGCCCTGAAGCGGGGTGGGCGCCTGCGTGACGGGCAGCTAGTGAGCCAGCGGGCTATCCCGCCGCGCAGCATCCGTGGAGACCAGATTGCCTGGGTGGAAGGCCATGAGCCTGGCTGCCGGAGCATAGGTGCCCTCATGGCCCACGTGGACTCTGTAATCCGCCACTGCGCCGGGCGGCTGGGCAGCTACGTCATCAACGGGCGCACCAAGGTAAGGCTGGGCGGGGGCCTTCTGTGGAGGGGCTTCACCACATCTTGTTTATCGGATGCCAAGTGCTCTGGGCACGAGTGGGTTTAGAGACAGGTTCTGGGGTCACAAAAGGGTTTAGGCCGTTCCAGTGGAGGGGGTGCACTCACTTCTGGGGACTCAGGCTCTATAGCCGCCCTGTGGGCCTTAGTGTGTGCACCTGTAAGCCAGGGGTTTGGTGTTGAGCCACAGTGGACCTTGCCAGGAATCCCCTTGAACCTGATGAGAGCTGCCGACATTCACAGCCCCACATGTGTGAGCCATGGTGGGGTTCACAGTCCCTTTGTGGTTTATGGGCCCCAGACCAAGAACGGTCAACAAAGACAGGCACACATTTCTGCCTCTGTCCCTTTTCCCTGTCTGTCTATCCATCTATCCATTCATTCATCCCTATGTGCTGGCCTGTCTAGTCTGTCCTGTCTCCCAGGCAGGAGAGCTGGGAGGGGAGGGTTGCAGTGATGAGTAGGCCCCCTGGGCTGAGGGAAGTGTTGCTGGACGCCTGGCCTTGGCCTCATCATGCCCTGTGTGCCTGCTGTGGCATTTTCCCGGCTGTGGCATTGAGGACAGCTTCCGGGGGTGGCACTGGGTGGCTGCATGCTAGCCTGGCTCGTTAGAGCTCTTGTCCCCATCGTTCCCACCCTTCCCTACTCCCTGTCCTCTATCCCTTCTGTCCTGTTTGTCAGTTCATCCCTGTCTGTCTCTTTTCCCTTGACCCTCTGTCTTTATGTGTCTGTCCTTGGTTCCTTTTTCTTTTTTTTTGCTTTAGGGTAGTAAGTACTCAAGTGTTTTTTTGAAGCCTTTTGGGGGGCTTTTTGAGACTCTTCCAGAGGCCATAGACTCTCTCTCAGGAAAAATGCTCATTTGATTGGAGTTTACCTGCAGTGTTCAGGGCCTCGTGGTCCTCCAGCTGCCCATTCAGGAACCTGGAGTCAGGAGTTCTGCACAAGACAATGGTCCATAGGGCCTTTCCTGCTTGCTGACACGATACTTCGCTCCCTAGAAGAGTGTGGGGGCCCTGGTCTTGAGTCCAGGGCATGGTGTCCTTTGGAGAAGGCCCTATAGGGAGTGCCTCCTGCTCCACACCAGTGGTGCCTGGCTGATGGCACGGGCTGTGTTCTGCCCTGTAGGTGTGAAGCTGAGCTGATGTCCCCTCCCTCCTCTCTCAAATCCCATCTTGGGTTCTGCCTCTGTGGCTTTCCTCTCAGGCTGAAACTGGCTCAGGGACCAGGGCTCCCCGGGGGTTGAGGCCTGTTTCCTCCCCACCCCAGCTGGAACTTGTTCTACTTCCCTCTTCCTCCCGTTACTTGATAGCTGGAGCCAGAGCCGGCCCCTCCCTGGGCTTGGCTCTTGTGGAGGCGAGGCCATTGTGGCCTCCCTGGCTCAGCATCTTCACCCCTGGGTTGGCCATCCTTGTCAGGGGGTGGCCAAGGGTGGGATGCTGCTCTGAGCCTCAGTTTGCTGGTCCACAGGATAGGAAAACCAAGTTAGATCCCCAGCTAGTCGGTAGCAGTTTGGGGAGAGAAGGGTAGAGGATCAGATCTTTTCTCCCTCAGTGCCTCCTTTGGTGGCTCTCATCTTGGATGTGGTTGAGGACAGGGCCTTGACTAGCATTGGGAATGGGGGAGTTGTTGGGATGTTTTTAGTCTTCAATGACCCTTCCTGCTCTGGGGAGGTAAGAACAGGCCTGGCTGGACTGGGAAGGGAGGAGAGGAGCCAGCCCCCAGTCACCAGAGTCCCTCTCTGACCCTCTCCTGCCTAGGGAGACAGCAACTCCAGGCTTCCCCTCCTTCACAGAGGGCCACATCTGGACTCCCCTCCCAGGCTGCGGAGTAAGGCTGTGGGGTGCTGAGGTGGGCTGCCGCGGTTAGGGTGGGGCATGGATCTCCAGGGCTGGGGCTAGCAGTAACCTGCTCCTTGGTCGTTCCTGAGTTGAGCTTCTGTGTTGTCCAGCTTTCCCTCCTCTACCTGGTCCCTGTGCTCAGTTGACTTGCAGGTGGGAGAAAAGTAGGCTCCCACTGGCAAAAAGGGCTGCCAGAGGGGACCCCCAGGGAAGGCCCAGCTGGCTTGGTTTGCCCCTTTAAGAGCAGCTTGCAGGTGGGGCCACCTGTCATTGGCTCAGTCACAGGCTTCTGACTGGATGTGTGTGTATGTATGTAGTGGTGGTGGGCTCTTGGCACATGTCATCAATAACCTTAGACTCTTTAGTCTCCGGGCTCTGATCCCATCTGCCCCTTCCGGAGATGGGAAGAGCGATTTCTCCTTGTCACTCTCCTGCTGTCCCTGAGGGCTGAGGCTTTCCTTTGTGGGGACAGGAGAGCCCGGGGGCCAAAGGATTTTTCCACCCCCCAAGGTGTGTGTATGTGGTGGAAGGGGGTGCCTCAAAGGGCAGGTTCCTGTTTCTGTGTCCAGCCTTCATGTGCGTGGTGGGAGAACCTGTGAGAGTGCACAGGGCAGGGCGGAGTGGAGGGGTGGGGTTCTGAGTCGGCAGATACTGCACTGGGCGCTGGGGAGGCAGGCCTGGCCCCAGGGGCTTCCATGCATCTGCTTTTCAGACCAGTAATAGGTAAACAGGTACCTGTGCTGATTTCATGTTCACAGGAGTGGAATGGACAATCAGCTAGAGAACTCCAGTTGACCCTTGACCTGAGTCCTGAAGTACAGGGTGGGTCAGGGGGAAGAGTGTCCCAGGCAGGTGCAAAGGCCTTGTGGTGGGATGCAGAGTGATGGGGTTGGGGACCTTGGTGACTGTGATCAGGAATTTGTATTTTCTCTGGATGCAATGGAGAGCTTAAAAAAAAGGGTCTGTGGCTGCTGTGTGCGATGGATTATGGAAGAAGAGGGTGCAGCCCTGGACCCCTTCCCTCACCCATGCTTGTGCAGAATCAGCACAATTGGATTCCTAACAGGGAAGGCCTTGCCTATCTCTAATCAGTGACTCACTGGTTCCAAGCCTCCTGTACCATGGCCACATTCTTTTCTCCCAGGGATGTGGTTGCTCAAAGTGCTGACCCATCTACAGGGAGTGTGCAGTGCAAAGAAGGCTCTTCCCTCTGAACCTTGGGGTGTAGGTCCAGGGTTTTCCCTGGGGCCTTCTCACGAACCATACCCTGGCGCTGCCGGAGAGAAAGTCTTCAGTTCTCCACTGCTGTGAGGCCGGAGATGGTGGCAGCCCACCTGGCCTCTCTTTCCCAGGGCAGGCTCTGTGGTGGCCAGGTGCACGTGCTTAAGGCAGAGCAGGCTAACTTCCGCACTAGGGCGAGCCCTGGGGTACTGTGTTGGGAGGAATATGAGAGATTGAATCAGCCTTGTCTGCTGAGGTGTGCTTGGCAAGCCTCCTGTGTTGGCAGCACTGATCTGTTTGATCCTGAAGGTTTATCATGATCTTGATAACTGTCTTGCTGGGCGGGCCTGTTGGTGTAGCTGAGCATTGGTGGGGAGCAGAAGCCAGCAGTTGGACCTGGGTGGAGGGGTCAGGACAAATGGTCCCCCCAACTGGAGAAAAGTGGAAGGGCCATTGTGCCACTCTTCTCCTGTTTGCCACCTACCTCATCCAGAGCCCCAAGTGGCTTTGGGCAGAAGTTTTAAATGGCATTTCAGCCTGTGCTTTGGTTCTCGGTCATGTGGTAGGCACTGTGCTGTGCTGGCTGACTTCCCAGACGTTTGTTATCTTGTTGAATTTCCACAACAACCTGTGGAGTAGCTGTCTGCTCTATTTCATGGATGAGAAATCTGAGACAGGGAAGTTAAGTCACCTGCCTGATGTCACAGCTCATGTGGTGGCACTGAGACTTGAACCAGGGAATTGGGTCTGCAGAAGTGTCTCGGCCTTTTGCTTTACCCTACAGCCACCTTTCTGTCAGCTCCCTGATGGCAAACATCTGTCAGCCCTGGCCACAGCGTGGTGGGGGCTGGGCCAGGGGAGTGGCAGCTGTCTTAGACAAGAACCCTGTAGCTAGACACACAGAAACTAAAGCCTGGAATGAGTCTGGTTAGGTCTTTTGGGGCCTGGAACTTCCAAAGTTAATGCTCTCAGAGGGATTAATTGCTACTGCTGTAAACAGAGAACATGTTTATTACCCCCATTTTACAGATGAGGCAGTTGAGGTCCATTCAGGTAATGGGACTGTCCAGGGTTACCCAGCAAGTTATCCCTAGAGTTGGAATTAGATCTCATTTTCTATTCAGACTCTAGGTTTAGGTACCTGTTCAGATGTGTCTGGAACAGATAATTTAGTGAGGATTCTTTGTAGTCCAGGGCAGCAGTTTCAACATTGCTGCACATTAGAATTACCTGGAGAAGGCCGGGCGCGGTGGCTCACGCCTGTAAACCTAGCACTGTGGGAGGCCAAGGCAGGCGGATAGCTCGAGGGCAGGAGTTCGAAACCAGCCTGACCAAGACCCCGTCTCTACTATAAACAGAAAGAAATTAATTGGCTAACTAATATATATAGAAAAAATTAGCTGGGCATGGTGGCGCATGCCTGTAGTCCCAGCTACTGGGGAGGCTGAGGCAGCAGGATTGCTTGAGCCCAGGAGTCTGAGATTGCTGTGAGCTAGGCTGACGCCATGGCACTCACTCTAGCCTGGGCAACAAAGCGAGACTCTGTCTTAAAAAAAAAAAAATTACCTGAAGAATGTTAAAAAATTCTAGGCCCTACCTTAGAACCAAGTACATCAGAACCGCTGGGGTGAGCCTGGGCATTGGGGTCGCAAAGCTTCCCAGGTGATTCCACTCTGCAGCAGGGGTGAGAACCCCTGGTCTAGGGCTGTGAGGTCCCGTCCCTGCACAGCAGGAAATGTACACATCGGTTTATGGAAATGTCTGAGGTGGGGTTGGGTATCTTTTAAAAAATCAAACCCTCAGCTGTTTATTGAGCCCATCTGGGTACCAAGGAATCAAGGGAAATACAAGGGGCTGGGAAGGGTGAGAAAGGAGGTAATGGCTGCTCCCTCAAATGTGCCTGCGTAGCCCCAGTAAACCCACCTCCCTCCATCTCTGCCAGGCCATGGTGGCGTGTTACCCAGGCAACGGGCTGGGGTACGTGAGGCACGTTGACAATCCCCACGGCGATGGGCGCTGCATCACCTGTATCTATTACCTGAATCAGAACTGGGACGTTAAGGTAGGGGGTGGGGTGGGGGTGGGGCTGGGGCGGTGTGCATCCACTCCATTTTCCGCTCCCTGCTCAGATCCTGGCATTTTCCTGTTCTTTTCTCAACCCACAGGGGGGCGGTGCAGTTTGCCGGCCCTTCCTGGGAAATGGCACCTCCTCTCTGGCCGACTGTGGTGGGAACTCCCCCCTTTCCGGCAATGGTGCTGTCTGCCCAGCCCCACCCGGCCTTGTAATGAACACTCTCCCCCTTTTCCTGTCTTTAGTAGCTTCCTGCCCATCTCCATGGTGATGCAGACTCTGGGTTGTCATTCATTTTAAGAGCCTGAGTGGTGGGAGGGAGTGATGCCTGCCGACACTGCGCCCCCTGGTGGGCTCCTGGGGGGCAGTGCTAGGCAGAGGCTCCAGGCAGGACCATCCGATCCGGCCTCATCGTCTGGCGCGCCCCCAGGTGCATGGCGGCCTGCTGCAGATCTTCCCCGAGGGCCGGCCTGTGGTAGCCAACATCGAACCACTCTTTGACCGGTTGCTCATTTTCTGGTCTGACCGGCGGAACCCCCACGAGGTGAAGCCAGCCTATGCTACCAGGTAGGACCCATAGTTCTGGGGATGGGCCCAGGTGCTCCCTCTGCCAACAGAGTTCTGTCAGACCCTCAGAGTGATGAGGAGTGATGAAGTGCTGAGAGGGGGTCTAGGTGGGAACAGAACCAGGTGGCTCCAAAAGGTGGCCTCTAGTGGCACCATGGATATGTGGCTGGAATTGCAGAAAACTGATCTCTAACCTCCCTGGTCCCCAGGTACGCCATCACTGTCTGGTATTTTGATGCCAAGGAGAGGGCAGCAGCCAAAGACAAGTATCAGCTAGGTACCTGTCCCACCTCTTTAGCCCCTCCTATTCCATGTATCCCACCAGGCCTCAAGCCACCCCTTCCACCTCATCAGTCTTTTATTAAATCCCACCACGCATCTTTCCTCATCTCTGCCCACCTTCCCTAGACACCCCACTCTCCTGGTACCTGCAACATGAGCTTCATTTTTTTCCTGGGCCTCTCCCCATCTTCCCAGGTTTCCCTTGGCCTTTTTGTCCCTTGATGACTCACTATCTTCTGTCCCCTTCTCATCCCCAGCATCGGGACAGAAAGGTGTCCAAGTACCTGTATCACAGCAGACTACGCCCACCTAGTGGCCAGCCCCAGAGCTCCATGGACAGATGACTGGCCCTGACTGCAGAAGAGCCCTGGGCCCTGAGCTGGCAGCCCACCAGTCTCTGGTGCCTGCTCCTTCCCTGCCATCACTGCTGCTTCTGACTTGGCCTCTGTCCTGCCTGGTGTGGAGGGCTCTGTCCATCGCTGAGGACAAAGGAGAGACCTCTGCTGCCCCATGATGGGGTCTGGGGTTGTGACCTGGGCAGGAGCCAGCATTTGGGGGATACCCTTCCTGAAACTGGGGGGTCTGTGTCCTGCCCTGTCTGGTCACACCCCCGTGAGGTGTGGAGAGCTGGGAGGAGGCATTGTCACCTCCCACCAGGATGCAGGATTTGGGCTTGGGGTGAGTCATGGCCTCTGCTGGCAAAAGTTTGTGGGGGGAATATCCCCAAGTCCCCTCACTCTTGCAGCCTGGAATGTGAAGTGACTCCCCAACCCCATTGGCCATGGCACCTTGTGGATTGGGTTGCCACTCCTTGGGCAGGGTAGAAGGTGCCTGGAGGAGCATGGGTGTGGAAGTCCTGTCAGCCAAGAAATAAAAGTTTACCTCAGAGCTGCACACACGAGTCTTCCTTTCTGTAATGAGACCTCCATCTGCAGTGCAGGGCTTTTATTGACCAAGGAGGGTTAAGATGTGTGAGTGACAGTGAGCCCAGGTGGCAGAGCCTGACCTCAGCGGGCCACTAGGCGAAGCTGGAAGGCTGGGGGGACGTTGCCCAGGCCAGTGTAGTGCGGGGTGAGGTCGATGTTGGCGGGATTCCCGACGGGGAGCAGGCAGAACCTCTGTAGGATGGCCGTGAGGAAGAGGAAGATTTCCGAGCGGGCCAGGCCTGCGCCCAGGCACATGCGCTTTCCTAGGTACACGGGTGCAGGGTGAGCAGCTGTGTACCCTAGAACCGGTCCAGCTTGTCCCCTCCCTCTCTGGCCCAGACCTGGGGCAAAGGGCATGAAAGCGTCATTGCTCTGGAACTCGCCCTTGTCGTCTAGGAAGTTGGTGGGGTTGAAGCAGTCTGGGTCCTTGAATTGGGTCGGGTCCCGGTGCGCAGACACAAGCAGGGGAATCACGTAGGTACCCTGGGGGTATGCACAACTCGGGTTAACCGCAGGATTGGCGAGCATGCGAGCCTCTTACAATTTAGGCCGTTTTTAAATGCCCTCGGGAGGTGGGAGGGCCTGCCTTCCTCCTCCCAGGGTCACTGATCGTGCAGCACTGCGCACGCCCATTCCGGCTGATTTCAGCCAATAGGCGCTCATGCCCCTGGGCCCCGCATAGAATCCTCGGACTCTCGGCACCTTGGGCAGAAAGTGGCCGTGCAGGTGGGCGTCGCGGGTGAGGGCGCGCGGCAGTCCCAGCGGCAGCACGCTGATGAAGCGCTGGATCTCGTGCAGCACGGAGTTGGTGTAGGGTAGGCGCACGCGGTCCTCCAGTCTGGGGGCGCGCGCCTGACCTACCACGGCGTCCAGCTCCGCCTGCACCTTGGCTGGGGCCGGCGGAAATTGTGTCACACACTTCCCCGAACCCTCCAGCCATCCCCAAACCCGTGCACCTCATCCTGGACCTCTCCGGCTTGCAGACCTGCCACCTCAGGGTACTTGAGCAGAATGAGAAGCCCGTAACGCAGAGTGGTGCTCGTGGTCTCAGTGCCGCCAAAAAAAAGGTTGTGAGTCGTCATCACCAACGTTTCCTCCTGGAAATGGCTGTCTGGGTCCTGCTGTTCCTGTGGGCAGAGAGGACAGACGCTGCCACTGTGTCGGGCACCTGTTGGTGGGCAGCATGGATAGGGTTTAGGGCAGCAAGGAACTGCACCTTATCCATCTGGTCAAGGAAGCAATCGATGAAATCGCGGGGCTCCCCGGGCTGCCGCGTCTGCTGGTGCCGCTGGATTTGCTCAGAGATGAAGACCCGGAGTTCCGCAAAATTTCGGAAGATTCGGTGATGCGGGCCCGGGAGCCAGTCCAGGAGGGAGGGGAAAATGTTGTACATCTGGGGAGACAGGGTCTCAACAGGATCTTGGACAAAGCCACTAGGACTTAGTTTCCCTATGGGGAGATTGGACCAGGACTTTTTTTTTTTTTTTTTTTTTTTTTCAGAGTCTCGCTTTGTTGCCCATGCTAGAGTGCCGGCGTCAGCCTAGCTCACAGCAACCTCAAACTCCTGGGCTCAGGCGATCCTTCTGCCTCAGCTTCCCGAGTAGCTGGGACTACAGGCATGCGCTACCATGCCCGGCTAATTTTTTTTCTATATATATTAGTTGGTAGTTGGCCAATTAATTTCTTTCTATTTTTAGTAGAAACGGGGTCTCGCTCTTGCTCAGGCTGGTTTCGAACTCCTGACCTCGAGTAATCTGCCCGACTGCGCCTCCCAGAGTGCTAGGATTACAGGCGTGAGCCACCGCGCCAGGCCTGGACCAGGACTTTGATATTGTAGGTTCTAGAACTCTTCCATTCCAGTAAACTAAGACTGTCTCGTTCTAATGATCCATTATAGCCATGTGCTGAGGGTTTGGGCATATGAGGGATTGTGGCCGGCCCTCTCACCTCGCCCCATCTGGAACTCATTATGCGGAAGTTGTCATTGAAGAGGTCCAGGAGCCTCAGGAACTCGGGGTCTCCGTAGCCATAGCGTTTTCCGAAGACCACAGAACAGATAACATTGGATACAGCGTTATCCAGTAGCCGCCGGGGGTCGAACGGGGTTCCTGAGGGGGGTCGGGGTGGCAACAGGGCGGGGTCGTAACGCTGTGGCCAGGTCCCCAGCTAGCTCCTTGGGCTTGCTGGTTTTGTTCCACCCAAACGCCTCCCGCCGCCCCTCCTCGGCAGGCCCTTAGCCACACCCACACCAGCCCTCCTGCTTTCCAGGCCAGGCCGCACCAGCGGTGGCTTGAACTTCTCTAAGCAGACAAGTCGCCTCCTCCAGGACTCGCTCCTCGATGGTCCGCGTGCCCAACCCGAACTCCTTCAGCGCTCCAAGTGCAAAACTGCGCAGGGTTCGCCAGCGTGGCCCGTTAGAAAACACGATGCCTGCGGTGGGGAGAGAAAAGGAGGCGGGCCAGGGAGTTGGAAGCGCCCAGTCACTGTCTACAGCCCTTTCGGGGCCTCCAACTCCTGGAGCTGACTTTGCTCCTTTGACCACTTGGCTGCCAACCTCCTCGGCCTGCGCACACGTGCACACCGCCCCCGCCCCCGCACCCACTCCGCCTTCGCTGGTGCGGCCCGGGCCTGCGCTTGCTCCCTTTGGCGTCGACTCCTCCGATTCCGCCTACTCTTTAGCTCTGCCCCGCCCTCCAAGCCAGTTGCCCCCGTTAGCTTGAGCCTCTGTTAGGCCCTGCCCCGCCTGCCCGGCTCCGCCTTTATCCGCCCAACCTGGGTGGCTCAGGCGCTCGCTTCCAGCTCCTGGGCCTCACCGTTTCCGCGCGTGAAGCGTTCGAAGACTGCCATGGCCCCGCGGCCCGAGAACGCGTCCGCCTGCAGCACCAGCGCGTCCCGCAGCGCCGCGTAGCCGCACAGCACCACTGCCGGGCGCGGGCCCAGTCGCACGGTGAACACCGAGCCCCAGCGGCGGGAGAGCTGCGGGGAGCCAGCCGGCGCTCAGCGGTCCAGTCCGGGCTCCGGAGCCGAGACCCCGACCCCAGCGTCCTCCACCTCCAGACTCAGGAGTCCCCGGCTCAGCCCCTCGTTCCTCTGGTCCAGGAGTTCGATCCCCAGCTCCTTCCTCCTTCAGATCCAGGAGTCCAGGCCCGCACTTCCCTCGGGGCCTAGAAGTCCAGGTCCGCAGTCTCCTGCACCCTCATAACTAACTAGGCGTCCCAGCCCTCAGTGCTCGCTCCCTCCTTGAACCAGGCCAACAGACACTCTGCTCCCCTACCCCAGGCCCCTCCCTCCCAACCTAGGTGTCCAGGCCCCAAGCTCCCCATGCCCCAGTCTCCTTCTTTCCTGGAACTCGGGAGTCACTGAGTCCGAGCCCTCAGCTGTCTTCGTTCAGGCAGCCAAGCGCTCTAGCCCCCAGCCCCACCTCCACGAATGGGGGTGAATACAGAATTCAGCTCTCCCACCCACTGTCCGGCTCACCTCCATGAGCGCACGGTCCAGGCGTCCGGACTGCAGCTGCAGCAAGTTCCCCAGCAACGGGAGAGGCCTGGGCCCGGGAGGTAGAGCGCCCCCCATCTGAGCCCGGCGCGCACCCCAACCCCACCACGCTAGTGCCAGCACCAGCAGCGGGAACAGCAGCCCTGCCAAGGCCGTGATCATCATGCCTGCGCTCCTGATGCCTGTGTGCCTTCCCCTCTATTTGATTTACCCCGGGTCTTGGGTGGAGCAAGGGTGGAGACCCGATGTGGGAGGGGCGGACATCTTCGGACTGCTCACTCTAGAGGTTTCCCAGCCCAAGGTCTCTACCCTGCCCCCCAGCCCTAGCACTGCTGTGTCCTGGCTCAGCCTGCTCCGTTTGGCAGCTTTCCTACACCGGCATTTTCATGTCAATGCACCTGGCCAACAGGTGCACCCTCCTAAGCCCCTAGCACCCTTGGGTCCATCTTACTTGGCCTGTAGGTGTGTACTCCTCAATCTCCCAGCAACCTCTGGGCCCCCTGAATGCCGTACCCTGTACCTCTGATTCCTAAATACACTCCTCACTTCTAAGTACACTTTTTTGTTTGAAAATTTTTTTAATTTCAAAATATTAGGGGAGGGTGCAAGTGTTTTTGTTACATGGGTGCATTGTTCAATGCTGAAGTTATGGCTTTTAGTGTGCCTGCCACCAGAATAGTGTTCATTGTACCTGATGGGTAAGTTTTTAGCTCTCACTCCTGTACCCCCCTTCTTGGTTTCCAGTGTCCTTAACACCTCTTCTTACCCATCATTTAGCTCCCACTTATTAGTGAGAACATGTGCTGTTTGTTTCCATTCCTGAGATAATTCACCTAGAATAATGATCTCTAGTTCTATCCACGTTGCTGCAAAAGATATTGTTTCATTCCTCTTTATGGCCGAGTAGTACTCATGGTACATGCACGCCACATCTTCTTTATCCACTCATCAATTGGTGGGCACTTAGGTTATTTCCATATCTTTTCAATTGTGATTGTGCTGCGATAAACATTTGAGTGTAAGTGTTTTTTTGCTAAAATGAATTCCTTTCCTTTGGGTAAATCCCCATTAGTGGGATTGCTGGACCGAAGGTTTACTTTTATTTCTTTGAGGAATCTCCTATGCACGCTTCTGAAAACACCCCTGGCACTCTTATGCCCTGTGCCTGTGATTCTCTGGGACTCACACCTGAGCCCTTGTCACTTCCATTGGTCTTGGAACCTTGTATACTGGACTGTCCCCCAAATCCTCCCTGGAATCCTTTAGCTTCCTGTTGCCCATGATCCTGGCACTTCTGTGCCTATCCTTATGACATCTGGGTCTCCTCCCATGTGTCCCCTGCACCTCCATACTTATGCCCTGTCCTGAACTCCTACCATCTCTGTTCCCAAGGCTCTGTTTCCTAGATGCCCCCGCATGTCCTATGCCCATGCTGCCATACCCCCGGTATCCAGTCGCCCAAGCCCCTCAGTGCACACTCCTATCTGAGGCTGCACCATCACAGCAGACAAATGTATCCCTCATTCTCCCCCACCCCATCCTGGGACATCCCAGGGCTGGAGTGGACAGACTCAGGCCTGGATGAGCCAGGGGAGGGGGAGGGTTGTGGAAGTGTCGAGAGTGGCGCTAAGTTAGTACTTGGGACAGACTGCTCAGGAGTGTGGCCCATCCTCCTCTGGCCCTGCCTTGTCATTTCCAGCCTTCCTCTAAGTGCCTGGCATGGGGCCAGGGCCCAGACCTGGGGAGGAGGTAGGGGACCGTGTAGAGTCTTGGACTAGAATTTTCTCTGGGTGTATCTCTCAGTGTCTCCCTCACTCTCAATCTCTGTGTTTCTCTGTTCATCTCTCTCTTTGTCTCTCTGGCTGTGTCTCTGTTCCTGTCTTTCTGTCTCTCTTTTTTCTTTCTTTCTATCTCTTCCAGTCTGTGTTTCCCTGTCTCGCTGTCTCCGTCTCGGCCAAGAGTCTTCCTACCTGTCAGCCTTTCTCTGTGCAGTAAGGCATGCCCTCCCTGGCCCTGCCCACCCCTTTGTACCAGGCTCTCTGATGGAGCCTCTGTGTTAGGGTCTTCGGCTTCCTCTCTGACTCCTGGCTCTTTCTCCCTTTTGCTCTGTCACGCTCCTCTGAAATGCCAGCCCTTCAAGAGTAGGGATCTGGGCCAGGCCCGGTGGCTCACGCCTGTAATCCTAGCATTCTTGGAGGCCGAGGCGGGCAGATTGCTCGAGATCAGGAGTTCAAAACCAGCCTGAGCAAGAGCGAGACTCCGTCTCTACTATAAATAGAAAGAAATTAATTGGCCAACTAATACATATATAGAAAAAAGTTAGCCAGGCATGGTGGCGCATGCCTGTAGTCCTAGCTACTAGGGAGGCTGAGGCAGGAGGATCGCTTGAGCCCAGGAGTTTGAGGTTGCTGTGAGCTAGGCTGACGCCACGGCACTCACTCTAGCCTGGGCAGCAAAGTGAGACTCTGTCTCAAAAAAAAAATAAAAAAAAAAGAGTAGGGATCTTTGTTCCCTTCTCTTCTGTATCCCCACACTTAAAATAGTGCTTGGAACACAGTAGGCATGCAGTAAGTGTTAGTTGAATGAATGCACAACACCCTGCTTCCCTATTTATGTCTGTTTCTCTCTGTCTCTAATTCAGACTTAATTTTTCTGTTTCTGTTAGTCTCTCTCTCTCTCTCTGGTTTCTCTGTTTCTCTTCTTCTCTGTTCCTCACTTAATTTCTGTCTCTGTTTTAGAATCTCCTTGTTGTCCCTCTCCCTGGGTATCCCTGTCCCTCCCTTGTCTCAGTGCTCCTCTTTCTCCTCCTCTGTCTCTTTCTTCTGTCTCAATACTGGTCTTTGTCAAGACCTCTCTCTGCCATCTCTGTGCATCTCTCTGTCTCTCCCTGTCTCGCTCCATCTCTTTTTCGGTGTCTCCATGCGTTTTTCTTTACCATCCCTCCTCTCGTCTTTCTCAGGACGTCTGGATCTCTCCCTCCACCTCTGGGTCCCTGGCTGGGCCCTTGGGCGAGACGCTGTGCTAAGCTGCGGTGGGAACAGCGTGGAGATTAGAGAGTTGACTCCTTAATCCCTATGTGGGGACCGCCTATAAGCCACATCTCAGCCAGCCCGGGCTCAGCAGAGCATGCCCCAGCTGCTGGATGGCCTTGGGGAGATCCTGTTCAGGGTAGGGCCACCCAGGCCACCTCTGCCTGTGACTGAGGGGCCAGCCCCACTCTGCCTACATCTGGCTTAATGCAGCTTGGGATACCTGCCAATAAGAAAAGCTACCGTCAGCAGGTTATGACGTTAGGTCTGGGCCCATGTTGGGCGTCTCCATGCCTGGAATGGCTAACCCCACCCCAAAGGGAGGATTGTGGGGCAAAGGAATAGTCCAGAAAGAGCGGTCGGGAGTGAGGGAAAGAGTCTGAGTCTCCTGTAGCTCATATTCATTGCCCATTCTCTCTCTCTTTGGTCATTTCTGTTCCTTTCTCTTCTCTCTGTCTCCCCATTTCTCAGTCTCTGCATCTCTCTGCTCTTCTCTGTGTCTGACCGTGTCTTCCTTTGTCTCTCTGGCTCTCTCTGACTTGTGAACGGAAAGAGGCGGTTAGAAGTGCAGTGTCTGGGCTCAGGGAGCCTCTTCAGATTCCAGTTCTGCCCGTTTCTGTGTGATTCGGGGCCAGTCACTTCACCCCTCTGAGCCTCAGTTTGCTCATCTGTAAAAAATGTGATACTGATATTGCTTTGCCTCATAGGAAGAATTGAGGCAGTTACCGTGTTTCTCTGAAAATAAGACAGGGTCTTATATTTATTTTTCCTCAAGAAAACACCCTAGGGCTTATTTTCAGGGGATGTGTTACTTTTTTAAAGTACGGTACAACAATCTACATTTATTCAAATATAGCTAAGTCGTCTTTTTCTGGAACATCATCATAACTCTCCAAAGCCCGAATTCCATCCTGAATGTCTTGCGACTCTATGTCCTTTAGAACCATTGGCCCCAATCTCTCATGTGGAGCTCTAGAGCTCTCACGGGGCAGATGAGAAGGGCTGCTTGTCTTCTTTACCGCTCTGCGACAAAATGCATGGGCTGTGCAGATGCGCTGCGGAGCCATGCCCATCACTAGGTCTTATTTTGGGGTAGGGCTTCCATTGCACAAATGCTTAGAAATCCTGCTAGGGCTTATTTTATGGGTAGGCCTTATTTTCGAGGAAGCACAGTAGAACAGTGAGCACCACGTGAGTGTTAGTGATGGCTATTACTCAGTCTCTCACTTTCTCCCTGCTTACACTTCGCTTACAGACCCCCCCTCTGTTGGCTATCTCTCTGCGCAGCTGTCTTTTTCTCTGTCTTGGTTTCTCCACCTCTCTGTCCTTGGGCTGTCTCCAGGAAACCACTTCTCCTACCTTAGCCGCCCCAAGGGAGACGGTGGAACTAGGCCCAAGGAGGGTCTCTCTGCAGCCAGAGTTCCCTTCTTCCCCATCCTCAGGGACTGTCCTCCTCCCTTTAATTCAGCCAAGACAAGTGTGAATGTATTATAAAGATAATTTACTAAGAAATGATACAAAAAGCCCAGACAAGGGTGTGTCACGGATCATGTTCTAGGGGTACAACAAGACACACATACTTCCCCATCCCCTGGTCTTTCTCTGCCCTGCAGACCGGCGACAGCTGGGAAGGGTGGGGCATGGCATGCACGCAGCAGGCGAGAGGGAGGGGGCAGACAGTGGACGGAGGAGAGGGACAGAGCAAACCGCTAGCAGCGGGCGAACCTGCAAAGGTTGGACATCAGCGCGCGCGCAGGGACAGCTGGAAGGGCCGCGGCAAATTGCCCAGCCCGGAGCTGAGCGGGCTCAGGTCGATGTCCTCGGGCGCCCCCAGCGGCTGCAGCGAGAAGCTCTGCAGGATGGCGGTGAGGTAGAGGAAGAGCTCCATGCGCGCCAGCGACTCGCCCAGGCACAGTCGGCGCCCTGCAGGGGAGGCGGAGAGGGGAGCAGCGGTGAGATAAGACACGAGCAAGGGCTGCCAGCCCAAATTCCCAGAGGAAAACAGAACATGAAGACAACAGCTGGGGACGCCCCAGACCCGGCCATGGAAAGGTCTGGGAAAGCTGCTTTAAGTAAATCGTGGAGCAGAATGGCCTGGCTGATGATGCAAGTGTGACTGCTTGGGTTCGAATCCCGGCTTTGTCACTACTAGTTTTGAGATCTTGGGCAAGCCACAATTTCAGGTATTTAAAATGGGCATGGTAATAGTGCCTCATGAGGCGGCGGTGCATGGTCAATACTCGGAAAGCAATGAGAACATAATGCTTATGCAGCTCTTACTATGTGCCATGTGCTACTCTTACCCTATATCACTATTTTTTTTTTTTTTTGAGACAGTGTCTCGCCCTGTTGGCCAGGCTAGAGAGTGAGTGCCGTGGCGTCAGCCTCGCTCACAGCAACCTCAAACTCCTGGGCTCAAGCAATCCTCCTGCCTCAGCCTCCCGAGTAGCTGGGACTACAGGCATGCGCCACCATGCCCGGCTAATTTTTTTCTATATATATTTTTAGCTGGCCAATTAATTTCTTTCTATTTATAGTAGAGATGGGGGTCTCATTCTTGCTCAGGCTGGTTTCGAACTCCTGACCTCGAGCAATCTGCCCGCCTTGGCCTCCCAGAGTGCTAGGATTACAGGCGCCTATATCACTATTAATTTAATCTTCCTAACAGCTCCAACTCCAAGAGGTAGGCCTTAGTATTGTCTCCCTCTTACAAATATGGATTTTTGGGGTTTTTTTTGAGAACAGGGTGTTGCCCAATCTGGAGAGCAGTGGCACGATCATAGCTCACTGCAGCCTCAAACTCCTGGGCTCAAGGGATCCTCCTGCCTCAGCCTCCTGAGTAGCTGAGACTACAGGTGTGGGCCACGACGATGCCTGGATAGTACTTCCTACTTTCTTTTTTTAGAGAAGGAGGTCTGGCTGCCCAGGCTGGTCTTGAACTCTGGGCCTCAAGCGATCCTCCTGCCTCA